ACTTAATTCTATCCCCCCTCTCCTCCCCTTCTACGTTTCTTTTTTAAAAACCCGGTTTCGTCTTCGTCCCACTCTTTCTTCCCCCTATCCTGCTGTTGTCTTGTCCATTGTATGATCAGTGTCAGTGTTATGTGTGTGTGGTGTCCTTAGTCTGGGAGGGTGTAGTGAGTGTTATTGTGTCTAGTGGTCCATCTAGTCTGGAGTGTGATTCACCCTCTTTCTTCTTGCTACTAGGCCCTACGTGGTCAGTCTTGTCTCTCCTTCTCTGCCTTATCCCCCATTACCCTCGTGGTAATCATGTTCTACAGTGTAGAAGATTGCAAGAGTAATGTCTCTAGAGTTCACGTATTTTTCGTTTGGTTCTCTCTTCAGATCCGAGGCGGTTTTGGAGTGGGGATGTATTTCACTGGGTCCGTTGGGTGTAAGGTGGTCAGGGCTCGGTGCCGTGTGTTGGTGATTTCTCCTCTGGTGTTGTTATGAGGGTCAAGCTGTGTCCGTGATGGTTTCAAAGGGGTACCGGTCCGGTAGTGCGGTGCAGGTCAGTTCTTGTATGGGGGATGTTTGAGAGTGTCGAGGGGGGACCTCTTGGTTTTATCTCGGGGTGTGCCCCTGAGGGGGGGGTTGCCATGGGCTTGGGGTTCTCATTGCTGTTGGTTCTGGATCCATGGGGCTGATTCTTCGTGGTTAAGTTCCTCTTATTTGGCGTCCGTCCTGTACTTCTAGCGGCCTGAGCGGTGCGGCGGGGATTGTTCCCCTTGACGTCTAGCAGCGGTGTTGTCTTCTATAGCGTGGGGGGGTCTTTTCTGTTTGGCCGGATGCGGGGATGCAGCCCTGTCTCTGGAGCGGTCTCTTCCCCTGTATCCCGTTAGTGGTGTGGGATTCTGGAGCTGAATTCCTAGAGAGTCCGCCATCGGGCCCATTTCTGCGGCTGTGGTGAGGATATGGGTTTGGTCGCCTTTTTGACCAGCAGTTTAAAGGGGTGGCCCCAAGTGTATTTTAGCCCCTGTTCTTGGAGGGCCAAGGTGAGGGGTTTTAGATCTCTCCTCTTCTTTAATGTAGTTGGGGCCAAGTCCTGGAAGAAGGTTAGGCGGACGTCTTTATACTTGGGAGGGCGGTTTCTGGCTAGTTGCATTAGTTTTTCTTTGGTTTGGAAGTAGTGGAGGCGGATAATTACGTCTCTTGGGGTAGAGAGGTTCAGATTTGGGGGTCGTAGTGCTCTGTGAGCCCGGTCCATTTCCAGGAGTGGCAGCGGTAGTTCGGGTGCCATTGCAGAAAAGATATCTTTCAGGGTGGTGCTTAGGGTCTCTGGCTGGACTGCTTCGGGCAGGCCACGGATTCGGATGTTATTCCTCCGTGATCTGTTGTTAAGGTCCTCCAGGTTGTCCTCCATGGCCGTGAGGCGGCCATGGAGGTAGGAGATTTCCTGGGACTGCGAGGTGGAGGTAGCTGTCAGTGCAGTGAGACGTACCTCTGTCTGGTCTGTGCGGGCAGTCAGTGTCTGTATTTCTGTTCTGAGGCCTGCTAAATTTCTAGTGATCTCTTCTGCCACGTGGGATTTTATGTCCACTGTGGCCTCCTTTAGCATGTCCCTGAGGCTCCCGATGGTGAGGGGGGTCGAGGGGTCAAGTGTGGGATCGGGCCCCTCTGAGTCAGTACCTTGATCAGCTCCTTGATCGGAGTGGGTAGGCCTCTGGGATTCCCCCGGCGTGCGGAACATGGAGGCTACCGACGGGGTGAGCTCTTCTTTCCTTTTCTTCCCGCCGCCCATATTGTGGAGCCTGATGCTGGGTGGTCGCCTGGGGGCTGTTTGGAGGGTGTTTGGGCCGTGTGTGATGCGGATGATGGCTGATTCTGTGCCTGGGGGAGAGGGAGCTGTGGGATCAGGCGTCCATCTTCCTCCGAGGTTAGGCTCCGCCCCCCGTTCCTGAACTTTTTAACCCCTATAGGTAAGGTACCTCCAGTCACTGTAACAACGTCATTCCGATTAAGTTATGTGTTCCCTTACTGATGTACAGTCATCTTCTCTAACAAATCAAATCAGTGGACAAAAAAAATAAAAAATGGTTTATGTATATGGCTGTCTGTAAGCAGATGAGGAAACAAAAGCTGTGGATCCTTTGCTTTTCAGCTCATCACTAATCACACACGATATAGGTCAAAATAGGAGGTTTGAAAGAAGAAAATGCAGTTGTAAACTTGTAACAAGTCACAGTTTAGTAGTTAAATCACTAAACGTAAAAGGTTGCACACAATGTTAAGGAAGTAATCTAGACGAAACATAAGAAATACTATGACCTAGTTTATATCTCTATCAGAAAACCACAGTTTTCATGACAGCATGCTACTTACTTTCTTGAAGCTGGTACATAGATATTTAGTGTCTTTTCACCTCTTTACAATGTATTGCAAACTGCAGGTTGGGCAAAAGTAATGTTGGCTATTGTTGGACTAAGATCTAATTAGATTGCTTTCCGAGAATCCAAACCAACAGGAGACTGCACGGTGTTATGCTTAAGGTGGCACAATGTACATACATTCCTTTCCTGGATACGGAAAAGAATGCAGCATTTGTCCTGCCAGAAGCAATTTTGCAAGCAGAATCCAGTCATATATCTAAATCAGGACTTTATTAAAAGGACCGGTTTTGGCAACATAACATCTTCATTGAAATTAAGTTGTTATGGTGTCCTGGCGCTGGCTCACCTCTCTAACAGTTTAACCCCAAAGTCTGTGTTCCAGAGCTGGCTCTCTCTCCCCATCCGTTTGCTCAAAGTCTGAAAACCGTAATGCTCTTGCAGCATTGAGTGTCTGATCGGTTAAAAGCAGTCAGCTGATGCTCTCAGACAGTCAGTGACTCCCCAGTCATAAAACCAGTTTGAAAAAAGGTGTGTTTCTATTCAAACCAGTTTTCTGAATGGGGAGTTACAGAATGGCTTAGAACATCAGCTGACTGCTCTCGACCAATCAGCAGCACTGCCCAATGCTGCAAGAGCCTTCCATTTTCCAGATTGTGAGCAGAAGGACAGCGAGATCCGGTGCTGGTACACAGACTTTGGGGATTACCAATTTGAGAACAGTTTAACCCCTTAAAGGACCACTCTAGGCACCCAGACCACTTCAGCTTAATGAAGTGGTCTGGGTGCCTGGTCCTTCTAGGATTAACTCATTCTTTTATAAACATAGCAGTTTCAGAGAAACTGCTATGTTTATGAATGGGTTAAGCCTTCCCCCAAAGCCTCTAGCGGCTGTCTCATTGACAGCCGCTACAGGCGCTTGCGTGCTTCTCACTGTGATTTTCACAGTGAGAGCATTAGCGGCCCATAGTGGTTTGTGAATGCTTTCCTAGCGCAACTGAATGCAGAGCCTTGCCGCAGTGCTAAATTCAGGGGAGGAACGGAGGAGGAGAGCTCCCCGCCCAGCGCTGGAAAAAGGTAAGTTTTTACCCCTTTCCCCCTTCCAGAGCTGGGCGGGTGGGGGCACCCTCAGGGCACTATAGTGCCAGGAAAACAGGTATGTTTTCCTGGCACTATAGTGGTCCTTTAACATAAGCTAGCGCTAGGAACCTCTTGGCACCATAACAACTTAATTTAGATTAAGTTGTTATGGTGCCCCTAATGTTTCTTTAAGGCATTGGTAGGTTGAGGCAGAACTTCTCACGTGTACTTTCCATTCATGGCTCCACCAGTGATGACATTTTATCAAGTCAAGAAGTGAATGGCTGTGAGTGCCAAAGAAATCAGTTTAGTCCAGCTCCTGTGGCCTACCATGGCCATCCAGGTTTGGCTGGGTTTACAAAGATAATGCAGAGGAGAGACACTTAGACTGGTATGTTTGCAGTTGACAAGTCAGGGTTTGGGTGCCAGGAGAGCTCAGTTTTATTTAGTTGTTTTGTAAATCCACTGGAAAACAGTTTGACAAAGATCAGGAGAAAAAACCCAAAGGACTCCTTGTACCAAAATGACTACAATACGCTGTAGTGGGCTTCATGCTTAAAGAGACACTCCACTGCCCAAATACATCCAATGAAAACATGTATATGTAAAAACAACTTGCAAAAGCTGCATAGCTCTTGTCTGAAGCCTTTGCAAATCCTCCCCTTCTAACCCCACCCAGACTTTCTGTGGCTGTCCAGTCACAGACTTCCTAATGCTGCTCAATGAGAATTATTTGCAAGGCAGGTGATTTGGGCAGGGCCGGACTGGGAATTAAAAGCAGCCCTGGGAAAAAAATTATTTACCAGCCCTATAATGCATCACGCCAGCATAGTGTGCAGATACAAAGTTAGAACAGATAACTTAAAATTAAAAATTATTACTCCAACGTAAAAAAAAGCACTCATAGGCTTCAAAATAAACAAAAGTGCAGATTTATTTTAAGCAGACGTGCCTTTGCATGTAATCAATGTTTCAGTCCAACTACCATGACATATTAAGGAAGGTTTAGTAATGGGACTGAAATGGTGAATGTATGTAGTGCACAACTGTAAAAAAATGTTCATTTTTAAGTCCTGTGGGTGTGCTCTTCACTTTAAATATGTTATTGTGCTGGAGTATGCACCTAGCAACAAGACTGGGCCAATATCTGCTCATTACATATGGTACATATCAATGACATTTCTCTGTGTATTATGCATATATAAATGTACATTAATATATGTGTAAACATAATATGCATAATTATATATATATATATATTTGTGTTCGGGGCATTCTCATATGATATAGAATAAGATGGGTTGTAGAGATGTAGCTTTAGGAATAATCGGTTGAGGTGTGCCGAAACTGACGTATGCTGTAGGCCGGTAAAAAGTGGGCTTACATAGAGGAAATATGAACAATGGGAGTGGAGGGTGGGGCACTTCATCTGACCAACAAAGGTAAGTAGGGAAAGGGGGGAGTCCCTTTTATAGGTCTATAGCCCCTCTCACAACATCAAGCCATGCCTTCCAATTTGTGTTTGGGGGATTCTCATATGATATAGAATAAGATGGGTTGTAGAGATGTAGCTTTAGGAATAATCAGTTGAGGTGTGCCGAAACCAACGTATGCTGTAGGCCGGTAAAAAGTGGGCAAAAAGAGACATATTGGGGGGCGGAGTCTGACCGCTAAGCTGAACAGACGTGCGGGAAAAGAGCTCCTGTCGGGCGGGCAGAATAAACGGCAATATCGACGGCTACTCAGCCCAAGGACACACTGGGGTGCGCTACCCACCTTGGGGGTGCACCACAGAATCGACAGATACCTTTCTGGAGCCTGTCGGAGCCCAGAACCCGAAACGCAACCTGCAGCCTACAGGAGTGGGGGCCGGGAAGAGGCCGCTCTCTTCGGCACCGGATCCCCCCAGAAGCGTTCCTGATCTCCCACCCCCCCCCCCCACTGGCGGGGGTTATCCCAGTCCCCACTAACCAAGCGGACGAATACAGAAAGCAAATGACTGCAGCTACACAGCCAGCAGGGGCACCAGCCTGCAGGGGCACACCCAAGATGGCCGCCCAGCAGGGGCCAAAGAGAGGGAACACTGGCAACCATACACATGCTCACCCCCTGGAAACTCTAGACCAACTCTGCTCGAGCTTTCACACGATCTTATGTGACAGGGGAGTGTCCTACCTTCAAGCAGCTCAAATGGTGGCCTCGTGGATCCGTCCGGTGACCCGCCG